AAAAAAAAAATTTAGTGTACTTACATACTCTGTGTTTGGTCTTCTCTGAGAACAGCTCCAGGTTACAGGTAATTTTTTAGTTGCTGGGCCCGTGAATGTTCTCGTCCGTTTTACACATTGTGTAGGCTACAAGAGACAAGAGTAAATGCCTTCAGTGAAACTCTTCCTTACTACTGTCTTTCTGTTCCTCATTTACAAATTATCAGGCATGTCGAGAAAAAGATGGAGACGTAGGATGTGATTCTGCGTCGCCTGTGTAGCTTGATTCAATGAACACGTTTAGCAGAGACTTGGTTCTAGACATCCCTCCTTTCCCAGGATACGTTGTGTTCATTACATCATAAAATCATAGTAGATTCCTAAGTAGGATAGTGAAGCACAAGTCAGATGACCATTTGTGAAGGATGTTTTAGTTTCTTGCCATAGAAAGGAGATGGGACCTACCCTCTAAAGTTCCAGCATTATTTCCTAAGACATCCCACTTGTTCTTAGACAGTAATATTAGACGGTAATATTCTTCCTTATGATGAACTGAGATCTCTAACTCCTGAAATCCCATCCTCTGTCATAAACCATGCGACACATAATCTGTCACGATACAAAGTCATTTTGCCCCATTTCTGTATGATGACCCAGGGGCTTCTCTCAGTCTTGTGTTCCAGAGGCTTCCCCAGCTTAGTGTCCTTTCTCCCAGGTGTGTTTCAGTGAGGTTCTTAATTTAAGACTTCTAACACGGGTTGGCCCACAGGGAGCAAACTGCTCAGACGAAAGTGGAGATCAGGAAGAGCTGTTTCGAGTTAATCCATTGCATTTGTAAATATCTCCAGGCACAAAAAATTTTACAGAATGCCCTGTCCCATAGAGCCCCTGGCTAATGTCAGCATTAAATGAGTTTCTGGATGAAGAAACAGGTTTCACAACGAATAAATTGTAATTTTTTTTTGCCATTAAATGCATGATCTAAACCAGTTCTGCCCTGAGGATGAGCTAGCGGGAGGTCCTCACAGTTAGTTATCAACAATAAAAATCTTTTTCTTTTCTTTTACTCTTGACCTAAGTAAGAACATGGTTCCAAGGAACTCTTGTCTTTTTATCTGTAGTGTCAGCCAAGACTAGTTGGCCTTTATTGTTTATTTTGTATTATTGAACACTCGTCTGGGAGAGATTAGAAAGAGAAAATACAGAAGAAGTAGGCAAACAGGAGATTTCTTCACTTAAGACAAAAAGTCATGTCTACAGATCTTTTTTTTTCCTGAGGTTATTAGCACAGAACTAAATTTACCCAGTGTAATTAATTAGCACACACTGAACAACTCATCAACACCAATTCACTATTGTCATTTGGAAGAATTTTATTAGGAAAAAAGTAATTTTCCAGTTGAGTCATCAAATTGAATATGGATAATTGCATTGTAGTCATCAAATTGAATATGGATAATGGTTTTGACAAATATGTGTGAAATATGTCGAGTTCAGTCAGCAGAAACGTGTTTCATTTTAGGGATGTTGTATCGTTCAGAAGCCTCAAAAACTGGGTCAGCAGAAGGGTTGATATTCCTTGAATCCATGTCTTCTGGTGGAGATACTTGGAATCATTTGGGGGGAAGATAAGGTGTGTTCTTGTTATTCCTCATATTGTGCTAATGAATCTTGGTTGGTGGGACATTAGGAGAGAGAGTAGTGGTTTAGAGGACAACCCATTCTACCCATTTGTGTACTTGTAGCTGATTTCTCTGTGTTCAGACCGTGTAAGAAATCGCTCTCTGGGGCACCTGGGTGGCTCAGTCGTTAAGCGTCTGCCTTCGGCTCAGGTCATGATCCCAGGGTCCTGGGATCGAGTCCCACATCGGGCTCCCTGCTCGGCAGGAAGTCTGCTTCGCCCCGCCCCCCACTCCCGCTGCTTGTGTTCCTGCTCTCGCTATCTCTGTCTCTGTCAAGTAAATAAATAAAATCTTTAAAAAAAAAAAAAAAAGAAAGAAAGAAATCGCTCTCTGGGTGATCTGAAAGCAATACCATTTGAAATTCCATTTCAAAGTGATGCTATTAGTGAACCATCCATGGAATTACATTGTATAGTTTTATGAACTGACATGGAAAGGAAAATCTACCGGTTGCTGTTATCTCACGAACGTGTAGGTGAAGAATAATGAATCCAAAAAATGTAGAAACTTGCCATCGTCTAGTTGTGTTGTCTTCTCGTTTTCAGGTGTCCACCTCTTAGAATATTGCCAGTCAAAAGAAAATGGTATTTCAGCTTACCACATACTCAGTGTATCAACCTCAGCAGCGATGTGAAAATCTCACACTGTCCTAACAGAGTACTACTGTGGTTTCTTTAATAGTCTCACTTGGTTGGAACTCTTGAGGTGAAGAACCAGTCTTATTTATCATTGATTTTTCCTTTTTTAGTTAAGATTCCCTATTGAGTATGATTCTCAGGCTCCGTTTCAGCTATATTAACAACTTCATCCAGACATGTGTCTGCCCTTGACTAGTCTTTTAATCCAGGGCACAGTTTCGTCTTTGGCAATTATTTCTATTTGCATGTATACTCATTTTACGGATTCTCACTTTTCTGAAACTGTCGTTTAAAGGGTGTAAGTTACGAAGCATGGCATTCCGTTCTGTGTGTGTAAGATTCTGCAGGCTTTCTTTGTCCCCAGCCCTTTTCTCCTCCCACCATATGTTATTGATCATGGCTGCTAGCAGACTGGCACGTAATCATCCACAAAACTCTTGGTAAATCGTAGACTTCGTCTATGCGAATTGGTGGAGAAAGCATCAAAGACTTTCCACCTTGCCCTGTTTCAGTGCAGTTTCTAGTCTGATTTATTAAAAGCATTTATTTTTTCACCAGCAGTTTCTTGCTTCCATACCAATGTTTATTTCCTTTCCCTAATGAATTTAACATTTGTTGCTGCTGGAGACAATCGATATTATTGTGTACCGTACATTTCTCCTTGGTAAATTAGAGCCGTTCTGGTCTGTAATCTCTAGTGAGTTTCAGATCTCCTCGAGTCACATCCAGACCCGGACAAGCATTTGCAGTTTACAAGCATTTCCTTATTATCTTATCATCTCCAATAAATAATAGTCAGCACCCACATATACTACCAATCCTTGCTTAGAATTTTTCCTTCCCGATTTCTTTTCTTGGCACTCAATATTTCTTATACTTTGTATGATTTAGTTTTAGGGCATTTGCTAGCCGCTATGTAGCTCATCCTCTGTTTATTTTATACGGTAGCTGCTTCAGTGCAAGGTAATAGCTACTACCGGAGGACAGAGCGGCTGAGGAAAAGCTGGGACTCGACCCAGTACAGTGGCAGCCCTGAAAGGTGGGAGTACAGCAACTCTCGTTGGGAGCCCTGACCTTCAGCAATTGTGAAGTTAATTGCCTGCAGGTTCTTCATTTATAGATGTGAATTAAGTAGCTTAGTAGTTACCTATTAGATGTTAACAAAATGGTTCATTTGTAGCCATTTAATAAAAGATTTATTAAAGTCTTGTTTTATTATGAAGTCTGCTTTGGCATCGATAGTTCATTAGTTATGTTCCCCTAGCTCTTTACCTTGCAGTTCAGTAATGCTTTGCTAATTATTAATGTATGAAATTGCATATTAAATTACCTCTTTATTATTGCACTTTTTATTTAAATATTGAAATGTCCTGGGCTGCTTTAATGTGAGATCAATGGCTGTGTCTTAAAAAAAAAAATACCTAAGCAGAAGTATTACTTACTAAATTAAGATATTCTCCTTTTTTTCCCCTCTTTTAATCTTCACTCTAAATGGTTCTAGGGAAAGGCAAGACTCCCTCCCGTACAAGCTTTGGATATCAGTCATCCTTTCCTATTAAAAACCCAGACAGCAACCTACACGTTATGGCCTTATCGTACCAGGGAAAGCTTTCCCAGGTGAAAAATGGTACCATCACCTGCATGCTGGTAACCAACTACCTTTAGCAAGATACTAAGTAGTTAGATGCTCCATAATTGCAGATATAGCTCTAAGTAAAATATCCCTGGGAAGGTAATCCACTGACTTAAGTTTACGGACTGATGCCATATCCTTTTGTTAAAGATAGTTTGCGGGGGAAGGAGAATATCACAGAATATGAAAAAGAGATGCAAAAATGAAGCAAAGGTTACTGAACACCAACCTCAAAATTGGATCTGGGCCTAGGCTAAGAAATTCTTAAGTAATCTTTGAGAGTCTCACCATCTCTGTTCGTTAAAAACAAACAAACAAGCAACAACAACAAACCCTGTAAACCTATCTAAAATTATATGCC